ACGAGAAAATAGTGCATATTGGACGTGAATAAGGGAGCAAGTTGCACGTGGAGAAAAAAACGCGCCTGATTTAAATGTCACACCTGAATGCTCACATCCTTTTGATTATGTTTGAAATTATGAACATTGCTCAACATCATGAAAATTAAACCTTATTTTCAATAAGCAATCCTGAAAAATATTTGGGGGTGCTTAACTTTTTTCCAGGTGTATATAATATAAACAGCTGCTTCTTATCAGTAGAAAATCACATATAGAGTATAAACAGACATTTTTTGTCAGTAGAAAAGAATCACATATAATATAAACAACTGCTTCCTGTCGGCAGAAAAGAATCATATACATAATATAAACAACTGCTTCTTGTCAGTAGAAAATAATCACATACTGAGTATAAACAGCTGTTTCTTGTCAATAGAAAATAATCATATACATAATATAAACAGCTGTTTCTTGCCAGGAGAAAAGAATCACATATATAATATAAACAGCTACTTCTTGCCAGGAGAAAATAATTATATATGTAATTTAAACAGCTGCTTCCTGTCTGTAGAAAAGAATCACATATAGAGTATAAGCAGCTGTTTCTTGACAGTAGAAAAGAATCACATAAATAATATAAACAGCTACTTCTTGCCAAGAGAAAATAATTATATATATAATATAAACAGCTACTTCTTGCTAGGACAAAAAAATTATATATATAATATAAACAGCTGCTTCCTGTCAGTAGAAAACTAATGTTATAACTGGTTCTGTAAGTAGGAAAGTAATTAAACAGCTGTTTCCTGTGAGCAAGTAAGTAATCAAATTAAAAGGTGCTTTCTGTTAGAGGGACAGTTACCACATATTAACAGTTGTTCTCTTGTTTTGCATAAATACCTTTCCTCTTGAAATAAACAAATGTTTAACTTCAGATAAAATCAGAAATACGTATCACCACTCCATAAAACATAATCTCTTCACTAAACATACATTTATTAATTAAAAAATAAACAATCCTAGAAACAGGATGAATGACATAAAGTAGACAAGGTGTTTATATACATTAAAACATGGAATATTATCATACATAAAATATAGCCAAGATCAAAACACTAGAAATTTACCAAAAAAACTATAATCACATAAAAATAATTTACAACTGATCAGTGAAATACCTCTTGCATTGTATCATCAGCATAACTGGTGGCAGGAGAAAATCCTTGATCTTCCATTCCTTCATCTTCTTGTTCATCATCAGAGTCATCTCTCTGTAAGAGAATCATCACAGACAGTAGAACTATGTCATCTATAAATGACATAACCTCCAGCTTATTCTCTAGTACATAGTAATTTTACTAAGTGTCCTTACAAATACAACAATACTTTATTTAATACAAACTTTTATATCCTATACTAGTGAATACAATCTGGACACTTTTACCACATGTCCTTGAAAGTACAACAATGTTACCTGGACACTTTTTACCACATGTCTTAGAAAGTACAACAATGTTAACCTGGACACTTTTACCACATGTCCTTGAAAGTACAACAATGTTACCTGGACACTTTTACCACATGTCCTTGAAAGTACAACAATATTACCTGGACACTTTTACCACATGTCCTTGAAAGTACAACAATGTTACCTGGACACTTTTACCACATGTCCTTGAAAGTACAACAATCTTAACTGGACACTTTTACCACATGTCTTAGAAAGTACAACAATGTTACCTGGACACTTTTACCACATGTCCTTGAAAGTACAACAATGTTACCTGGACACTTTTACCACATGTCCTTGAAAGTACAACAATGTTACCTGGACACTTTTACCACATGTCCTTGAAAGTACAACAATGTTACCTGGACACTTTTACCACATGTCCTTGAAAGTACAACAATCTTAACTGGACAGACACTTTTATGCCATATTCTAGTACTTACAATAATGTTACCAAGACCCTTTTATTAAAGTAAAACTAACCTTTATTGTTCTAAAAAATAAATAAACCAATTTAATAATTCTAAATAACAATGAAGTTTCTCACTTGTATTATTATCCTTTTGACTTGCATGTTAAATACTCTATCACTTGTATTGTTATCCTTTTGACTTGCATGTTAATACTCTATCACTTGTATTATTACACTTTTGACTTGCATGTTAATACTCTATCACTTGTATTATTATATACTTTTGACTTGCATGTTAAATACTCTATCACTTGTATTATTATCCTTTTGACTTGCATGTTAAATACTCTATCACTTGTATTATTATACTTTTGACTTGCATGTTAAATACTCTATCACTTGTATTATTATCCTTTTGACTTGCATGTTAAATACTCTATCACTTGTATTATTAGGAAACATGCAAGTCAAAAGATACTCTATCACTTGTATTGTTACACTTTTGAGTTGCATGTTAAATACTCTATCACTTATATTATTATACTTTTGACTTGCAAGTTGATACTCTATCACTTGTATTGTATTTCTAAGTTAAATATTTGTATTTCATATAACAATGAAGTAGTCCATCACTTTTTATGTTTAAGATTTCTACCTCAGATAACAATGGAGATACTTATCACCTGTTTTATCATATAACAATGAAGATCTCTCTCTTTCTCCTCTGTTGTTACATCTAACCATACATCAAAATATATCTTAATATATAAATAGTACGAGTAATAGTACATGTATCTCTCACCTGTGCACCTAGGCTAGTTTCTTCATCATCACTCTCTACAACAATAACTTCTTCTGTTGTGACTGTTGGCAACTGCTCGGGTACTGTGGCCGTTGATGTTTCTCCTTCTGGAAACAGATTTGGTTTTTTATTTATGTATTTAATAACAGTCTTCCATCTGGTTACACCTTAAAGTGCAATCACAAAAAATCTGCTTAAGTTATCAGAACATCAAGTAATTAATTATACACATCAAACTAAAGCCAGGACAATAACATTTTTCACACGTTATATAGAACTTCTATTAAGTAACAGTCTGTTAACACTTTCACACATCACTGCACCTTGGTCCTGTAATTCTGAAATGCTGTTTTCTACTTTCATTGCTTCTGTAGGTTCAGGAACCACAGCAGTTTCTTCACAAGATTCAGTTTGACTAATTGTTGTGTCTTCATCGGTTGGTTGCTGATCAGTAGAGAGGTCAAGAGGAGTACCAAGCACAGGGATTACTGATACAGACGGGGTTGGTGTGGATTGAGAACTGTCAGGGAGAGTCCTAGATCGCTTCACCTGAGGCACCTCTCTTGACCCTGAATCATCGATTATGTCACTGTTTAAGAGAATTAAACAGTTGTTTAACACAAAACAAAAATCCTGATATATTAATTTAAATGAGTACACATTAGTAAAGTGTAAAAAACGATTCAGTTTAGAACAAATGAAACACTTGATTTCAAAATATCAGTTACCTTACCGCCAAGTGAAGACAAAAAATTATAACACTAAACTTTTTAATATATTAAAAGAACTGATAAATAAGATCAAGGTTGTATTTTTTTTAAACATAACCTTAGAACATCAAAACCTTCGTTCCAGATCATCACTTCTCTTTATATCTAAATGTTTAAATGAAAGCTTAAGAAAACAAAAATTCTTGATCCCAAATTAGGAGCACCCTGACTGTGAGAGATAGAAGGATTTTTCTCAAGTTTAGAACAACAAAAATCCTTGATCCCATGCTATCAATTCTAATGTTGTAGATCCAGGTAAACACAAAAAATTATTTTAACTCTCTCAACAAAGGCTCGGTCGATTTGACCCTCACGTAACCTCTTTGTTCTTGTATAAAGTCTTTATAGTTTTGATACTACTAACTTTATAATATAGTATGCCTTATAAAATTAAGAACTTAAAACATATATATTATTAAAATATGAATTATTAGCAGGAATTTTATGCTATAGTAATTGGTATAATATAAACAAAAAGTAGATTAATAAAATTTTGAATGTAAGACACTAAAACCTTGTGACATGCACAGTAAAGGATGCCCATCGAGATAAGTTTAATACTTTGCATACACTCACAATAATATAAGCTTAGATAAAAATAAATACTCAATTCAATTTCACCATGTCTTTACATGTAAGGGCAAGAATGTGTGTGTTTGTGGGTGACAACATTTTACATGTACTGGAATTACTGATAGGGTTCATGCTTGCTTTTAAATTACATTTTTCTACAATGTTCATGCACCATTTTGGTTGTGAGTTTGTTACTTTGTTGATTTCAAGAGCCTTAATGATATACATGCCAATCAAGAAATTTGAACACAACATTCCATATTAAGTGTCATAACATGAAAAAAATTACCCAAAAGACAAACACATAAAATTACTCAATTTGATGAAATATGTGTACCCTTCAGTAGTGAATAGCATGGAATTAAATCAGTAATTTTAGGGTTTAAAGAACAACAAATCTCTTAACCCACACTTGCCCGGCATTTTAAACAGTACCGAGCATGAGCATCGACAACGCTTTTGGAAAAATCTTTATCACCCATTTGAAGTCATACTGCAAGTGTCTAGATTTCATATTTTGTAAAACACATTCTAAAAATAAAAATATAAACATCTGAAACAAATAATGCTAAGTTTCTAACCCTAAGTCAGATTTTTTATACCTTCATGCGTAAGGTTTTTAAGATTCAGATAATTTATATAAGAAACTAAGCTTTCTGAAAAAACCAACGAAACCTTTTTGGTACATCTGCACAATGCTTGATTATATCTGGCAAAAAAAAAATCCAAATAAAAAACCACGTTGAAAGTAATGGATTCCAAATAAGTATGCATTTTGTGATTAATTACCCAAATTTATAATCTAAAGATATGAAATTCATATAATTTTCTTTTCTTACATTCTTCTTCCAATTTATTTTTAATAGTTGTCTGCTATTTCTTTCATCTTCTGTCAAGTGATTGAATAAGATACATATACACCTGCACAATGACTTGAAGATCAAGAACAGAGGACTCCATATCAAAATATTTTGTTTATTTACAAACCATTAAATCATCAACATTACTAATTAATAATAGCCACATTTATACGTAAACAACACTCCCAGTGCCATGTTTATAGTTGAATATTCCCAGAACCAAGTTTTTATATATAAACAACACTCCCAGTGCCACATTTCTAGATAAACAACACTCACAGTGCCACGTTTATAGATAAACAACACTCCCAGTGCCACGTTTATAGATAAACAACACTCCCAGTGCCACGTTTATAGATAAACAACACTCACAGTGCCACGTTTATAGATAAACAACACTCCCAGTGCCACGTTTATAGATAAACAACACTCACAGTGTCACGTTTATAGATAAACAACACTCCCAGTGCCACGTTTATAGATAAACAACACTCCCAGTGCCATGTTTATAGATAAACAACACTCCCATTGCCATGTTTATAAATAAACAATTCTTCCATTAAAAACAAAATAAAAGACATTTCGATATTTAATCAGTTTTCTGAAATTTGAAACTAGCAAACTTTGAAAGAATTGTCCATTCTTCATGACAATACAAACTTCCAAGTTTATACAGTAGTGTTACAGAAATGGAAACATGTGCATGGCAATGAAAGATATATATCTTACATCACTGTTTCATCTCTCTGTCTCTTCAAGGTTGGAAGGACAGCTTGTGTTTGAGATGGTCCGGCAGCTGACAAAGTTTCTATGCTAGGTTCAACTGTAACTTCTGGGGAGAAAAAAAAATCTCATGAATGATATGTTCAACCAAATCCTCCACTAAAACTAGACATAATCCACTATCATATATTTCTTTTAAATGCTTCCCATATAGAGCTAAGCAATTTAATCAACTACATATGATCAGTGATTCCAACTATCTTAAGTAATCGAGATATTGATACCAAACTTGCTCACCCTGGCTTTGTCATGGCAAAGCTAGTTAGGATATTAGTCACCAGTGTAATATCAACTTTTGTTTTATCTTCTAGAAATTGCTGACTAGAGAGAGAATAACGTTTTTTTTTGCTTACTTGTAGGTACCACGGTTTGAGGAACACTAATTAATCAATAGGGTCATCAGTTAGTCAGTTAGCAAGTACCACTAACTCCCCAGCTCTATTCTTGTAAAGCCACAATAATAAACTTTTTAATACTTTAATTAAACTCACATTAACAAATGTTCATATTTCACATACACCCTGTAATATATTTCTTTTAATACTTCACAAACATCCAGTGTAATACACTTCTTAAAGTACTACGTACATAATTTCACATAAAACATTTTTTACTTTTCACTATTTCAAGATTATATTTTCAATATTGAACATCATACTGTTTATAAAAACAGAAATGGGATATTTGTCATCTATTGTTGAAAATGTAAACAACTACATCTTGTGTGGTTTCAAGATTCCAACATCATGAGTGTTAAAAAACAGAAATAGGACATTTGTCATTGCTGATGTAAATGTAAGCTATTACATCATATGTGTTTTAATAGTGAAGAGATGGTTTACACAAATTAGTCACACAGACTAACACTGAAATGATACAGTACATAAGAAGTATTGCAAATCATATCATGTAGAGGTAGCTCCTAACTAAATGTGGCTAAAACAAACCTTGTAACTCGTGTCTAACTTTAGCCTCTAACCTTAAACTGGCTACAAACTCCTATGTAAGCATTTCCTCCTAAAACAAACCTTGAAACTCATGTCTAAGTTTAGCCTCTAACCATAAACTGGCTACAAACCCCTGTGTAAGCATTTCCTCCTAAAAACAAACCTTGAAACTCATGTCTAAGTTTAGCCTCTAACCATAA